AAATGTATCAAATAAGATAATGAGGAAAAACACACCCGTACGCATAACGATATTATTCTAATACAGAATAAATAAGGTGCTTTTTTTCAATGCAAACATACTCAAACAGTCGGTAGTTAATTTGGAGCAGTCAAAGATCTATAAAGGATAGAGAATAAATAAATATATGAATGTACCACTGAAAATCAATGATGACACCAGGTGTTCGCGGAAAGGGTAAGCATGTCCTGTCCTACCGGTAGCACCCGTCATTCATACAAAGCGATCGTAGCACCAGGGCGACCGTAACTCCCACACTTTAGCATAGACCTACGACAGTCGTAGCGCTAAGATCGCTTAGGAAAACGGGGCCTGCGAAGCCATACACAATGTAAAGGCGTCACATGTGGACAATATTAAGCTGAACCTTTCCGGCAGCTATGTTGTTTGGATAATGTATGTGACAGCAGTGTGCATGCAGTATTCTTCCAGGGGGAGGTGTAACTGGCAATATTAACAGGTACTGCACATGGCATTTAATTTATTTCGCAATATCATTTAGTGGGCGAAAACGTCCTTAGAGTATTTAGAGCTGCATGTCATTGTGTGTGGGAAGGCGAAAATGACATTTAACAACTGACTCAAAGAAGTAAACATCCACAAGAAAATAATTGATTGCAATACTGTTCACGGTTCAGCTAAGATACTACTGCTGCATATTATGTCCAGGAAACTCATTGAATCCAGTATGGTTACTCGCTTTTTCAACGTTTCTGAGTTTCCCAAGTGTAAACTACGTAGATACTTGGCTACATAACGCGATTGTTTACAGACCGCCGTTAGAAAGCTGGAATATTGCTGAGTGTGGCGTTAAACAACAAACGAACGAACGAACGAGATCTACATCCATCTGGTCAACCCTGTCCACCCTGTCACCCACCGCAATTTACCCACTTACCTTTTAATTCAAATCGTCTAAGCCAGAGAATAACAGTCTCTCTTATGTGCCGAAACAAGTTCCACAGCGTGTAAATGCAAAATTGTGCAAATGATCAGAGACACAATCAATCAGGTATGACACCAGGTCCTCACGAAAGGGTAAACATGCCCTGCTGTATCTGTATAACCTTCTACTCACCTAACGCTGCATTCAAACAATACTTCTGCCACACGGCTCTATCACTAGCCCGCCTCTGTGGTCAAGTGATAGAGCATCCACACGGAGAGCGGAAGGTCCGTGCACGTCGCTATATAAGTGTACTAATCTTCGACGTGACCTTAAACCCAATTTCCATTCCTTACAAGTCTATCTTCGTGAAATAACGTCTACCTTTCGCATTGAATGCGTCAGCAGCACTGGGTTTTCAGTGACCTTAAAGTATCCACATAGTCTGACCTGGTCATGTTTTAACGATGGGAACGATGGGTGCGTCCAAAGCACTGAGATCAAAGTTTGTATATGATACCAGACTGTTCAAAGTCTATCCAGATCAGCTTCAACATCCTCCTGGAGCGGACATGGCACATGTCTTGTCTTGAAGAATCTGGGTACAGAATCATCTGGTAATTAGCCTTGAGGTGAGGTGAAATTGGGTTTAACGTTGCGTCCAAGTTTATTGCACTTATATAGCGACGTGCATGTACGTGTGTATGTGTGGCTGCTTGTACTTGTCCGGACTGATGCCTATTTAAAGTGCTAGCTCACTGAGATACCATGCCGCAGTTCAAATGAATACCCCACTCAGACACAGTATACTGACTCCGAACCGACCAGTCCTTGTTTTAGCCCCTTAATGTCGAGCGCCAGACAGGGTAACAACAAGTACCATCTTTTAACGTCTTTTGGTATGACGCGGCCAGGGATCGAACCCCGGACGTTCCGCTCTCCGGGCGGACGCTCTACCTCTAGACCACGGAGGTGGTTAAAATTTGCCTTGACTTCATTCAACTTTACCTTCCGACTCTTACTTTATCATTATCGTCTAAAACGTCTGAAGTCTAAATATATTGACTCCAATTAACAACAAAAACACATATTTCATAAAGAACCTGTGAAATATTTGATGAAATATTGATTTTTAGTTTACTTTTCATTTTTGAAAGTCAGATTGAAACAATTTTAATATCTAAGACAAAATTGTTATGAATGATATCAATAGCGAATGGAGTTGAAACAATGTTGATACACTGTTTTTCAAGTAAGCAAACTCAGATCAACCAAATTTCAATATTAGAACAATGACAATGCTGGGATACTTCAGTGGAGAGAGACATTATTATAAAGTATGAATATCTGTGTAAGTTGGGGCACAGGTGATTATGAAAATTGTAAAAACACATCCTCGGTGACATGGAGTTCATTTTGTCAGGGGGCGGTCGGGTAGCCTAGTGGTAAAAGCGTTCGCTCGTCACGCCGAAGACCCGGGTTCGATTCCTGACATGGGTACAATGTGTGAAGCCAATTTCTGGTGTCCCCCGCCGTGATATTCCTGGAATATGGCTAAAAGCGGCGATAAACCATACTCACTCACTCAACCAGGCAATAAAGATCAACAGAGGTCATTGTTACAATACCTTTGAAAACTATAGGTTTCTAACTGAGTAACATTTCTCTACTCACTTCGCTAGACAACAATATTGTAATTTGTAATACTTTGTTATATTCTGATCAAGACCTGATTTGAAAACAAGTTGACCACAAGTATGTATATTAAGTGGATTCACCTGATCACGAAGACTGACGCTTTTTTGGATTGTTACTCGGACATGTACAATCTTCAATCTTGAAATATGGTCACACAGTGTACTGCAGAAATAATGCAGGGTAATATCATATATATCTTCATTTAACGTTTGGTAAGACGCGGCCAGGGTTCGAACCACCTATTTTCCGCTCTCTGGGCAGACTCGCTTTATTTTTCCCCGCAAGCCACACACAGAACAACAAACCAATAACAGAAAGTCCCCTGCGGTACAAGGAGAGGCGTTTATGAAGCCCTGAGGCGTTATAACAAGACCAACACTGATACGTAGACAAATACAGGGTACATAATGAATATTCTTGCTTGGGTGTTGTTCAGCACATAACCTTTTGTCATCTACAGGTTCAAGTGAACAACCGATTTTATAAACCTCAGAGTGTTCATTTGTATTGATCGTTAGGTTATTTCAAACTTGAGAAAGACCCACATGAGGTTTTACTTGCGTAGAAAACCCGGGACTTACTGTGGAAGACCCGGGGACTTGGTTTTCATCGTTATAAAAAGTAACATATTTCAGATCAAGTCCCTGGGTCTTCCACAGTAAGTCGCCAGGACTTCCATACCCTATATTCTTTTTAAAAAAACCGCAATACTAGATTTTCTTCACTTTAATTGAAGTTGACATTTACAATGATATTCTTTGCAGGCCCCCTTCCTGCGGCAGCGCAGAAACGGTGTAGGTCGGCATTTTTAGTTTTCGTTTGTGTGAGAAATAAATCGTCACCTTCCTCTCTCTCCCCCACATCTTGCCACTAAATGAAACTCGACTGTGAAAGCTGTCCACATTATGACGGAGACGCTGACGGGCAATGCGTGCGTGCACGACCAACACGTGCATGATACCTGTAGTCGTCCCTCAACACAGCTCACGGATGCGTTTATAGTCTCGTTATATCGCATATAAAATCCTCGTTATTGCGGCCCTTAGGATCTTCCCCCCCAGGCGGGTTTACATTTTCAACCAAAACCTCAGAACGTGTTTTATCCTTCACATGTATCACGGCTGTGCGACTCATGGGTATATTAATAACTTTACAAAATTGCGTCCCATTTGAAACCACCCGAGCCTTACCTTACAGGGAGAACGTCAGCCCTTAAAGTGGAGGCGATTGTGAACATTCTGAGGAGTCCAGATGAGAGCGAACCATCCAGACTGCCCCCGCCACACCCCAGGGAGGGGAGGTGTACCTCTATAAGATAACCTCGGGAATAAGAGAAGGTGAGGCAGTTGTGTTCTGGCTTAATATACCGCGGGTCAGGGATTACTACATATGAACACCCTGCCCTGGTATCAGCTTCCTTGTACAGCCCTGTGATAACCGGTTTTATGTTCGCTAATATTGTTAACAAGTGATTTTCGTGCACAAAGTGACTACATGAATTAAGAATATTTGTCTGTATCATTATTAAAACGACTTCTTTTGCAATATTTTCTATCTATGTTTTCTTTTTACTCTTTCCATCCCCTTTACAACAATTGTGTACTTAAATAATGAACATTGTTTGATGTCAACTTGTAGAAAATCCATTGTTGGATTAATCAATATGGGCTAAACAAGAATCAAGTATCGTGTTGCATCTCAGGGAAGGAAAAAAGGACATGGTATTTATCATCACAACCTCTAATACAACATATTTATGCATGACCTTACAGCTGATTTGGCATTAAGGTGGGTTGATTTTAGAGTTATGTTACACTATTGACTGTTCACAGTTTTATTAATTAATCAACATCACAGGTGACACACTAACACACACAGCTTTTTGAGGGATAGTTCATCTTCAGGATTACAACATTGTTTGCAATATTATGATGTTATTTTCTATTTGCAGATATCTGGAAGGATGACAAATATCACTTCAGAAGTGATGGAACCCGGAAGCAGCCTGGCTCAAGTCCAGTCATAGTGAAGCAGTACCACAAGGCTTACACCGAGGACAAGACAACAACAAGGGCCTTTGTCAGAGAAGCATCGTATCTGTACAACCAGCCTCTGAAACACGTTCTAGTGCAATATATCGGGGACCACACACAAGCACAGCCTGCTCCTCAACGAAAGAAGCGTGGTCAACAGACACTTCATTCCCCAGGTGACAGTAAATGTAGGAAAGTAGAATCAACTGGTGGAGCTGTGCAGTCAGGTGTCACGGAGAACACTAACTCCAACCTGGACCCTGAAGATCATTCATCACCGACAGAATTGGAAGACAACGGTAAATCAAACACTATTCTAGGTGTAACACTGAACGAAGCAAAGGTGTCAGAGACTCAAACGCAGCAGGACAGGAGATCATAGAGGTGATGATGACATTGATTATTTGGGTACAACGTCAGGGTCCCCTGTCAAGAAACCTCGTTGGCAGCCTCAACTTGAAAATGACAACACAATTGTAACCTGTGTCACTAACACACACTATGCTTATCTGTACACATTTCTAGAAGATGTAGAAAGGAATCGGGATGTGATAAGTGTCGTGCGACAAGTCCTAGCATTATCTAGGTTCTGGAACAAGCACTGTACCAACAAAGGCAATCCGTGCTTGTCACTCATTGAAGAGGTCGACAAGAACTGGATCCTAGATGCAATTAAAGCAAGGAACTGGGTTAAATGTTCTGTAAATACTGACGTGCTGAGCTTGAACCAAGACCAGTCAGTTTACATAAAGCTCATCGCAGCAGTACTTGTTGGAGCATGCCATACCAGGACTGAAGTACAGGACTTTGTGAAAACACTGAAGGATCCTCCTTCACACCTGCAGCATGTACAAGAGGACGTCCCCCTGTCACATGACTGTACATACACAGTTGGCTGCTACACCATTAGAGGAGATGTTCTGTCTCGCCTGGAAACCAACGAATGGCTGACAGATGAAGTAAGTAGTCCACCTGCAATATTTACACAATCACACAAACTACATGCCTAGTTAACCATCCAGGAAAATCATTTCATAGAGCATGAGAGGCCTTCGATTTTATCAAATGATGTCAGTATTAGATATTAACTGGGGGCGTGAGGTTGGTGAGTGGTTCAGTCACCTAATACTCATTGATAGTGCCTTGAGGTAGGCGAGCTAGAGCTTGAGTTTGGTTAAACGCCTCTTTTTGACAGTAGTGTCATGGTGAGTTGGATTAAATTATGAAGAAAGTGATGCACATCTTTGACGTTAACCACTTTGTTGATTCCCATGGTGAATCTGGATATCGAAATGCGGCGCCTTGGACTCTATGAGCACCCATCTTAAGATTAATACAGCAACTTTTGGCGGTTTCTTCTTTTTGCACCAGTATTTGTTGACTATCAATTAATAAATACTAGTGCTAATTATCAACTCATTGCCATGCATCTCGATTCTGCAATGAAAACACTACTCACCTGCAATGGGCAATGTGCACACAATCTAGTACATCATCAGTTCAATTGTCAGTCATTGCTAACAGCCGATATATTCTCTTCATGATGGATATGTGATGTGCAGCGGATCCTGCTTTGATTTGAAACTACAAGCGTTCCTTTTGAAGCGAAAGCATTGGGGGATTGAACAGTAAAATAAACATTCTAATAAATGAACTCTTACCTGTCCAGATCATGGACACATACCTGCACTTCCTGGAGAGAGAGTGGTGTTCCCGTGTCAGCTTCCACTGTCTGGTGCTGCCTACAGAGACAATCCAACTGTGGGAGGCAGGACAGTACACAGACAGGATAAGGGGGAAAGATGTGAGTGACGTGAGATTTATATATTTCTTATGATTCTATCATTCCAAGTGCACCATTGCATGTCCACCCTACCACAAACAAGGGCAAGACTCGAAAGATACTTTGTAGTAATTGTATATTTCTTGTAATAACATATTATTCGTCCATGCCATGATGGCGTATTCAGTATGATAGTAATTGCCACTTGCAATTGTGCACATGAAGGATTCATGTGCTGCAATGGGTTTCAATTGAGTCAAAGCCAGTAACCCCATTGATCATAATGCTATTTGTTTTCAATATGCAGTTACAAAAGCAGATATTGCACATGAACATATTCATCTTGCTACATATTATTGTACGAAGTGTTGGTTGTCAGAGAGAGTTCTTTAGAAGTTCTAAGTACCAAGTTCATGCTATCAATTCACTAATATCTCTGTTACTACACCATATCCATCTTATGTGAAGCACGTGTTTCGGGATATATTGATCATACATCGGAAAGGCATTTGTTGTGAACTTTCAGGAAAATTTGACAAACTACACGTGGATATTAATGCCAGTGAACATGCCGCGTAATCAACATTGGGTGCTACTGGTGGCTAATGTCAAGGATGGAACAGTGGGCGTGGTCAATTCTAAACCCTCCTTAGATGTGGAGGACACAGTTGTACAACACTGGAGGTAGGTGGACAGAAGTAGATGAAAAAAACAGGGCGTATGGCTGCACATTATAAATATACATGATTATATTTCAATATCAAGAATGTATTTCTATTTGGTCATAAAACAAATCCTTTAAAACCAAACTATCCAATTTGAAATGTTGATTTGTCAAAAACAAAAATGAATGTAAATAAGATCCATCTATTAATTCTCGATACACTCACATTGGTAGCTTTAACCTTTTTGTAGAAGATATAAAACAAATTGTTCACAGGGTGACTAAGTTCCCCAAATGGGTACACTGTGTGAATGATTTAAATGCCATAAATACCGTTATGTCACTCACTCATTTAAACCATAACATCTGTATTTGCTAACATTAAACCTAATGATGGACAAAGCAGGAGAGAACATCAGAAATGCCAGGACCGGATATTTAAGGCACTGCTGTATTTACCTTCTGCTCTACCTTTACATGAACACCAGTCTACATGAGTTGAAGACGTTATCGCCATCGAGTAATATACATATATTTTTCAGGTCCTTTGTAAACCACTTGAAATCTACGTCTAAGGAAAGGAGCAAGTCATGGATGAAGAAACAGTACCCAGTGATAGAACAGTCTGATGGACACAGCTGTGGGATATTCGTTCTGATGGTAGGTTGGTTTGAAGCTATGTTTTTGATATGAAAGGCAACATGTGTCTCAATAACCACGTATGAAAGATACCTTTTCATTTCTAACCTTCATATTCTCAGGCTGCTGATGCAATTTTGTCGGAGAAGTCTCCAGGCATCACGAGGAACTGTCACGTTGAGAAATATAGGCTGTATGTGCTTCAGAGGATACTACAGTATGCCAAGGCCAAGGGAGATATGCAGGGTGGAGGAAAGCACATGATGGCAGTTGATGGACAGGGTAATGTCACAAACGAAATTCAAACTGTAACGCTGGAGACAAGAGATGTACTGGAAAATAGCTGTACAATGACAACAGATCAAGGAGGTCCAACTATTCATGAAGAGGATGGACATGAAACACATGAAGGAACCGACTGTGTTATCTCCAGTGATGAAAGTATGCATTCTGGAGATCATTACTATGTTACATAATTGTAAGGCGTTACGCAAGGTATTGTATTTTAGATCCACATGTGCAATGTTGTATACTGCTTCTAACAAACGTTATTTATTTTCACAGATACAGAGGACTATCCATGTTTGGATCAGCACCTGTTGCATAAGCAGAAGATGGCGTGCTTGTTAGTGGTTGCTTTGGCAGAGAATAACCTGGAGGAGAGGATGCTATGGGCAGGGTCTGACACAGGGACCCGCGTGGAAAGAGAAACCTACAAAAAATATATTGTTTGGGCACTCAAGGTTTTTGACATCAATGAAGAAGAATACACTGAAAATATGATGAAACATATTTTATCCCAATTGGCGGGATGCTGTCTCCATCATGAAGCAGGCTCATATAGAATAAGAAATCATGAAGTAGCAATAAAGCTAAGAGAAATACTGCTCAGTGATGTGAGACAGTTGGTTGAAAGTATGGATCTCGAGTTCATATTTCGTTATGTGACATTTAGAGGTGATCCAACCGAAGCGGAACAACTAGATGTGCCTTTTAAAATCGAATTGAAACATGATGATCTGCATATTGTAGCGAAGCGGTTTGTTGCAGCTGTACATGGCAGAAAGTTTGCCTTTGTGTGCATGCATTCCCTATTCCAGGTAGAGACATTTGTTGATATGGTTTGGGAGAATCTCTTGCATAATCTGAACAAGGACAGATCGGAACTGTTGAAAGTATTGTCAAAAAATGACATTATATATGGATATTCCTTTCTGTTTTGGGCGAGCATCACAGACAACTCGAATTTGTTGAAGAAAGCATTGAACAGTGTTCAGGTTAAGGTAAAGAACAGACAGGAAGCTTTGTTTGGAAGTTGCTTTGGGAGTAGCTTGGCCAACTTCGATTACTTGTGTTCCAAAAATAACTGGCAGTTGGATACGTTGTGTATGAGGCTACCCGAACTCCCAAGACCTCTAATCATCAAACTGCAGTTGGCAGTTGTAGATGATCTGAGAGTAAAGTTTGGTAAATGTTCAATTTTGGACATTGCCTGTATGGGTGGGTTGTCTGCAGTGGCTTCCAGATTGTCACATTTGATGAAGACGAGCAAGAACAAGAACAGGTCAAGAAAGAATACATATGTACATTATGCAGCCATGTGTCAAAAGGGCAAAGATATCATGGATATAGTTATAAAGAAGGGACAACGTAGCATCAATATCATAGGTCCTGAAGGATCAACACCTTTACATTACTCATGTGCAGTTGGAAATGTTAACATTGTAAGCTACCTTTTACAGGAAGTAGAGGACATTGGTAAGCCAAACAAGAAGGGTGAAACTGGACTTCATTTGGCATGTATATATGGGAATGCAGAAGTTGTTAAAATGTTATTACAGAACAAGAGAATAAGTCATGTGACAGATAATGCTGGCCGCACACCTCTACATGATGCAGCCAGGCAAGGACATAGGGAGGTTGTGGAGTTGTTATTACAGAACAAGGCAAATGTGGATGGGAAACGTAATGCTGGCCGCACACCTCTACATGATGCAGCCTGGCAGGGACACAGGGAGGTTGTGGAGGTGTTATTACAGAACAAGGCAAATGTGGATGAGAGACGTGATGATGGCAGCACACCTCTACATGATGCAGCCTGGCAAGGACAGAGGGAGGTTGTTGAGGTGTTATTACAGAACAAGACAATTGTGGATGAGAAAGATAAGGAAGGCCGCACACCTCTACATCTTGCAGCCTGGCAGGGACACAGGGAAGTTGTGGAGGTGTTATTACAGAACAAGGCAAATGTGGATGAGAGACGTGATGATGGCAGCACACCTCTACATGATGCAGCCTGGCAAGGACAGAGGGAGGTTGTTGAGGTGTTATTACAGAACAAAACAAATGTGGATGAGAAAGATAAGGAAGGCCGCACACCTCTACATCTTGCAGCCTGGCAGGGACACAGGGAGGTTGTGGAGGTGTTATTACAGAACAAGGCAAATGTGGATGAGAGACGTCATGATGGCAGCACACCTCTACATGATGCAGCCTGGCAGGGACACAGGGAGGTTGTGGAGGTGTTATTACAGAACAAGGCAAATGTGGATGAGAGACGTGATGATGGCAGCACACCTCTACATGATGCAGCCTGGCAAGGACAGAGGGAGGTTGTTGAGGTGTTATTACAGAACAAGACAAATGTGGATGAGAAAGATAAGGAAGGCCGCACACCTCTACATCTTGCAGCCTACCAGGGACATCGGGAGGTGGTTGAGGTGTTATTACAGAACAAGGCAAATGTGGATGAGAAAGATAAGGAAGGCAGCACACCTCTACATGATGCAGCTTGGCAGGGACATCGGGTGGGTGTGGAGGTGTTATTACAGAACAAAACAAATGTGGATGAGAAAGATAAGGAAGGCCGCACACCTCTACATCTTGCAGCCTGGCAGGGACACGGGGAGGTTGTGGAGGTGTTATTACAGAACAAGGCAAATGTGGATGAGAAAGATGAGAAAGGCCGCACACCTCTACATAATGCAGCCTCCAACGGACATAGGGAGTTTGTGGAGGTGTTATTACAGAACAAGGCAAATGTGGATGAGAAAGATAAGGAAGGCAGCACACCTCTACATGATGCAGCCTACGAGGGACATAGAGAGGTTGTGGAGGTGTTATTACAGAACAAGGCAAATGTGGATGAGAAAGACGATAAAGAAGAAACTGCTTTACAAAAAGCAGAAGCACAACATCACGATGCCATTGCAAGGATTATAACTGAGGCAACAAATATACATGACCTGACAACCAACCATGGTACAATTACAGATAGGTAAGAGCAATGTGGAAATGATGCTTGAGTTGACAGCCCAAACACATATATTGTATACGCTGTTTTGCAGAACAGTTTTGAAATCTCAAATAACGATATGAGACCTCGAAGAGGACAGTACCATCAGACATATATCAAAATATCTATTTCAGCCTAAAAAGAATATGGACATTGCATTTCTACAAGGCCCCCAAAACAACATACTAAAAGTCCCAAATCAATCAATCAAATATGTGATGAGAGACCAACAGTGTATTGATATTCCATGTCTGTCCATGTCTTGGAGGTCATCTTGGATTTTTGGGCCAGTCAGTTAGTGTGACAAGTTTTATGCATATAAGTCCCATCACACTGTTTAAGACAGTTGTTTCATCTTGAGTTTTGTAGATTTGTAAATAGTCGAAAACGATCAATAGTTGTGAATATCTTTTAAGAAACATAATATGGTTATTTTGCAACACAACACATGCTGTTTTTTCCTCAAAACATTGAACCTCATCTGAAATATGGAAAATACTATTGACAGTTGGTTGCCATATTGGATTATGTAAATGAGACATATTTCCCAAACTGGGATTGCTTGGGACTTTCAGTATGTTGTTTTGGGGACCTTGTAGAAATGTATAGTGGTGAAATGAACTCTATTGCTATTTGTTCCAAGTGAAACCTTATTTTCCATGGGCTACCTATGTCAATGGGGACTTTGCAAAAACACTGAAATTATGTTAACCAATATTTGAACTTAATTAGGCTTCACTGTGTATAATATTGAATGATTCGGTGGTTTACGTTCATGAGTATATTGGGCTTCCATTTAGTTTGGAGTCTTTTTCATTAGATACGAACTCGTAAGCGCTGGAGGCTTTTACATCTTGATTTTGTATTATATGTCACAATAGCATCACTATTTTGATTAAGTCCTATTTTATCTGAAATGTTATGTCAAGTGCATGTGATATTGTTTCAGGGTGACAACCGATGGCCAGTTTCTTATGAAATCATCGTCAATTCCACACGGAAGCTATAACAATGGCGGTTTGCTTACATCCACACCACTAACATCAACGTGCCCTGTGAACCACACATCAGTAGAATTGCCAGGGGTTTATGTTCCGAGTCAACTGGGACAAGCAGTTTCCACAGACAGACAAAGTGTTATTGAAGAGATATACGTCGCCTTGCAGTCATCCCAACCATATCATATAGACGGAAATGTTAACAACCTCCATACAGATCCTGCACGCATGGAGATACGTTCACCCAATCAAAGATCAGAAGCCATACATGGAAACTCAAGTCATGTTCCCACCTGTGTCCATGCTCCAGTAGTTGGTGACACATTGCCTAGTTCAGATACCACAAGTAATTCTGAGAATGTCATCATTCACTACACTGAGTCTGGGGAAAAGATAGAGCTGCAGCAGCTCTAAAAGTGGTCTAGAAAGGAGTTATCATTGTTCTTATGGTGTCCAGTGTTACAGTATTCATATACAGTTTTACAACCTCCATTACGGGTTAGTCGACCGAATTTGGTTTGCAGAAAATAACGAGTTATTTGTCATTTCTGTCGATGTAGCATTGATGTTTCGGTAAGCATATCAATTAAATTCCATAAAAAAACAAAACATTTTACTCTACAAATGCTAGGACCAAAGCTAACTTCATGACGAAAAAATCCTTTATGTTGCTTAGAGGATTACATAATAGATTCTTTCAAATGTTCCTAACTGGACATATGCACATTTCAGTGTGTACCGAACTTTCCTGTATTGTTTTAAGTTGAATTGAGTGAGTGTGTGAGTTGGATTTAACGCTGCTTTTAACAGTATTCCAGTAATATCACGGCGTGTCAGCTTAATGTGGGAGGAAAGCCCGAAGTCATGATGGCGGTCTCAGGCGTTTACCACTTCAGTGAAACCCAAGAGCACGGGTATGGTGCTGACAAACCTAGAAACATAATCTGGGCGAACCTGGATTCGAACCCACAATCATAGGTGTCTGGCGTGCAAAAAGTGACGCAACTCTGCACGGCGAATCGCGGCGCCTTAGACGACTGGGACACCCGTACCCCCGTGTTATGTTGAAAGTAGTGGGAGTGATTTTGTGTCGATGTAGTTTTGACGTTTCTGTATGCATCTCGATTCCATAAAAAACCCATTGTACTTTACAAATTCTAGGAACATGTCTAACTGTAATGTTTAGAAGATTACAAAACAGATTCTTAAAAAAGTTTATAACTGGACATATGCAGATTTAAGTGTGTTCCGAACCATCTTAAAGCAAAGTATTTTGTTGAAATTAGTGGGAGTGAGTTCAGATTGACGTACACAATGAATGTTTGCAGCTACATGTCGCTGTGTAAAATATGTACTTGCAGGAACACGTGGGTGTCTTTCTATCATAGTCGGTATTGTCACTTTGATTTGTTTCTGCACCATTTCCAGTGTCAGACTTGTAAAGTCTCACACCCAATACGAAGCCATGTAACCTGTTGTACATGCAATATAGGCTTTAAAGTACGTTCACGGTGACCTCATATTCAGGAATATTATGATTGTTTTATTTCAAAGCAATTTATCCTATTAATTTCCATGATGTCTTGGCACACATGAAAATGCTAAGATCATATCTGAAAACGTATCTAAGGAGCGAATGATGTTGGAAGCACTATTGTACTAACATACATGGTGTAATTTATATACTTTTATCATCAGATAACTCTTGTTAGTGCTGCATTAGTTAAATGGCCTGTTATGTATTGCCCATAGTTGATCCATTGTATAACCCCTGTGTGACTGTAGACCTACAATTATGTTTTTCAATAGAAGTTGTTTTTTATTCATTTATATTTTGTGCTGATTTACTGATTTGGCAATATAGTTTGGATCGTTTTCTAAGTAAACCTTCGCGATTCAATTCGGAAATCCCCTCGTAACACTGTGTCATACAGTTTAAACATACAGTAACGATTACTCTTAATTTCTAAAATGTCACCAGTTTCATTCATGTGACAAACATATGAAAGTCCTTATGATATTATGCAGACGTACATATACAGTCGAACCCCGATGTCTTGAACTCGGATGTGCCGTTTCCTCGCGAAATCACAGTCCAAAATCTTACCATATTTATAGTATTGTTACCTGAATGCTTGACATGGGTGTTTTGAGTTCAATTTAAAGTCCCCAAAGTTAAAAGGTAGAACTTATCAAGATCCAGGTCGAATTCAAATAGTTCGGATAAGTCGAACTATTTCTTTGGTCCCCAGGAGTTCGAGGCAATTGGGTCCGATTGTTCCTTTATGAGTATATATCTGAATATGTATACAGGTAGACAGCCTGCTAGAAATGTCATCATACACCATTGCATTTGTAAATACCTTGCTCTGAAATAAAGTGGGCTAGACCGCCTCCATTGTCGTATGGGTAGAGTATCAGACAGACTTATTTCGTATGTGTGGCCATGAGGCCAATAGCACAATGACATTTTGTTGTAAAACAATTCGTCGTGAAGCACAACTTGTATACTGATTAGATTGTAGCTAAATATGGTGTACACAGTTTTATCTATATTCAATGTATTATCCTTCTTTCAAATATCTTACAAACACACACAAGTCTGAGAAGAATATGGCTATTTTTGCTGTTCATTAACTGTACAGATTTTCTTTGTGATGGATTCGTGTAATAATAGTCAGGCAGGTATTTGATTCTTATATCCTCATATACTGGAAATATCAATAAAACATGGTATTCATTTTCTTGGTTATATCTGCAGAAAGGACACATCGATGTTAAAACATCATTATCTTTGGAGTGTCTGTATAATTGTGTATTGAGGGTATGTATACCACACCTGAACTTCGTTAAGCATCTGCGTAAAGGGAGAGTATCTGCCCAGTAACGTTAAAATATGGTGGTCTTGTTACCCCGCCTGGCGCTCAGCATTAAGGGGATAAGACTGGTCAACTTGTGGTCAGTATACTGTGTCAGAGTGGGGTATTCATGTTAAAACCTCGGCATGGTGTCTCAGTGGCTTGTTCTGTAAAAACGACATGAGCAGACACACATACATATACACACACGCGTGCATGCACGTCACTTCATATAAGTGCAATATTCTTGAACGCAACGTTAAACCTCAAACCTCATGTTGCCTTGCTCACCTCTACAGAGAATGAATCAAATAAGGGGGGGAAAAAAATGTATGCTTATTTATGCTCGGCAAACGTATTCTGAATATTGTTTGTGAAATCAGGTCTGAAGATTTTCGGGGTACGAATGGCCCAGCCGTCTAAGGCGCCGCGATTCGCTGTGCAGAGTTGCGTCCCTTGGGCACGCCAGAGACCTTTAATTGTGGGTTCGAATCCATGTTCGCCCAGTTTATGTTTCTAGGTTTGTTAGCACCATACCCGTGCTCTTGGGTTTCACCGAAGTGGTAAACGTCTGAGACCTTCATCACTTGGGCTTTCCTCTCACATTAAGCTGTCACGCCGTGATATAACTGGAATACTATTACATGTTATCGTAAGCCGTACTGCCACCGCCTTTACAAACATTATCCTGTCTTGTATCCAGTCAACAAAGTCAGTTGTAGACAATGCCAGGGATAGAAAAGGTTGAATAATGCATACCACGTTTACGGTAGCTGGTACCGGTCAAAGGGAGGCAACTCTGTTTTCAGATATTATGTTAGCATTTGATACGGAAGTTATCCTGACGAAACCTGGATACTGTGGGTAAAAAGCTGACAGGCGTATTGTCATTAGAGGCATCACCTGTAGCTGTTCGTACTGGGCTTAAATGACTTTGTGTCTGAATGTGGCAAATGCACGATATAATGACGCAAGGTATAATGAAATGAAGTGCACTGATGTTTGAACGGCTTTAAATGTTCTGTTTTGTGTTGAACTCATTTTCCAGAATGGAAATAGTATTTTCCTGTTTTAAATCATACCATGAAGCAAATTTGTTCTTCACCTCATGTACATGAAATTTTGATCTTTTGATCACCACAACCATTGTACCTGTTACCTATTGTTCAGGTTGTGAGAAAGGGAGAGAAAACGTATATGCTTACTTATGCTATGTCTAGTGATATAAACAGAGGGACGGTTTGAATATTTGAAACGATGTACAATATGAAGGTTGTATAGCACTGTGATCGAACTACGAATTACAAATATGTTCTGATTACTGACTTGAATAATCAGTTTTTTATTCAATTTAATTTAGAAAGTATGTAAATTTCTGAGTAATTAATCATTGCTATCACTGTGAGGTGGAGGTATTTGAATTCGTCAGAGATGTTTGTATGGATAAGAGCGACAAAACCCTTTTCATAATCACAAGAAATCTCTGTGGTAAGCAGACTCCATTTTACGATCATGAATTTATTAAAAGCATCACTTTGAACTGTCATTATTTACGTGAGATATTCCACATGTAAAATCGAATCCGTAGCATTCTAAATTCAATAAATATAAAATGTCAGCGCCAGAGAATAACCAGTCTTGGATATCCACCGAAACAGATTCCGAAACTCCCGTACAAACAACATGAAGGTTTATCTGAAAGCACACGACGCCGTTGGGTTCGGATGACACCCACACAGCTGAGTGACCAACTCTGACCACCTGATTCGCTCCAGTCAGCTCTTGCAGCAACCATAGGATACTGGTGCCTTATTCATCACCGGAATATACACAGAGCAGATGCAATGTAGTATAATCACATGATCATCATCAGTAGCATGCTATCAGACTGTCAGTAACACCACGTAGACTAACATAAACACAAACATCCATATGTGCAATGTTTAAATGAACAAAAAAAACTGTAGTTTTAAAAAGCAACATTTATTCGTGAAACATAAGGAAATATCAAACATGTACGTTATTCTTAACATATACTACAGCAGTGAGTCGACAGTGTTGTTGTTAGCTCAGGTGTGCACTACGAATGACACACTAAGTCGATGGTGATTGGAGAATGTTTAGTATGGCATCCATTTCGAGCGTACATCTACCTCTGCATCTCCACAACGCTCTGACGAGCACAAGGCCAGTGGCAGATCTGCCATTCCGCTCCTTCCACTTGGTGAGCATGTGTAAGGTCTGCATATAAAGTGAATGTGGGTGTGAAACTTTGCCTTGTTCGATCACCACAAGATTGAGTCCAAGTTCGATTCCAATAGATTCAAACCCGATCCCGATATGATTTGCCACAAGGCTGACACCTTTCTGAGAAACAGGGATTCTCAGTCTTTCCTCATTTACAGGGCCTACAAAACAAATTAACATCACGTTTTATGATTTAAAAAATGTGAGTGAACATTATAGATGAGTCTTGAGTTTTGTGTAATTTTGTTTTTTACTTTTCAAAATTATATTTTAACAAACACCTTACAAATCAGAACAGATACGGAAAGTATGTTGTGAGACATAGTACATCTTAATATATGCAGAGGAGAATACATATTC